CAAACCCAAGCAGGTTCCTTGCTAGGTCTGAGAAACACAAAATACCTCAAGCAATTGTTTTTAAAAAAATTTCATCCTGAAAAATGGAAAATCTGAAAGCCCCTGGAAACTTCCTCAAGATCTCCACGAAAATAAGGTGAGTCCTGTAACCCAAAGCAGCCCTTAGCACAGTGATAGTAGCACAGGTATAGGAGTAAGGTGATTCTGGCAAAAATCTAGGCATGGAAATTTTCATAGAAGGGATATGACCCTGAATTTCCTTCCCATAGGAATTTTGACCACAAATTCTAACCAGGAATTTCTTTAACTAACCTGACATGTCTCCACCGAGATTTCTTGCTCCTTCCAACCAAAAATATCTTGCTAAAAAATTTTCAGACAAATTTTTTTCTAGAAACACGATTATTCAGAAGTCATATTACTATACCAGACATTTTAGCAAATGCTTATTTAAAAAAGAGTCTTTTCCACAAGTCAGACTGCCCAAGGTTAATGTAAAACATGGTTATAAACTGATTTTATTAAACTAATTCAAAGGACTGAGTGGACTTTTTCATTGCAGTTTAAACCAGCTCAATTTTGTTCTGTTTTAATGTGATTAGGAACCTGCCACATTTCAATAGAAACCAGAGCGCTGAAACAGGGTAAGCAAATTGGTGCTAGCCTGGGTGAAGATAAAGCTGATTCAGTCAATGCTGGTAACAGCTAAGGGTCATCCGTGTCTCTTCCAAAGCTCCTTCCAGGATTAAGGCATGCATGTATTGGGAAGGATGTTACTCTTTGTTTAGTAAGAATTTTAACATATAACTAATATAATAATAACCAAAATGCAAATTGATATAATTAAACTGAAAAGGCATCCATATTACCATTAAGAAAATCTCATTCATATATATTTTTTAATCTCTAGGTGGACCCCATATTTCCAGTCAAACCCTTCCTCTTCCAGTGCAGGATTGGTTGAAATATCAATGCTGGGCTCATCCTATAGATTACTCTCTTTGAAGAGAAGCTTTCGGATCTGCTTCAAGTTCATCTGAAGTACCCAGAAATTCTCCATCAACTTCAACAATCTTTGTCTCAAGCCTTTAATGCCCTATAGTTAGCCTTACAATGCAAGATGAACTGGAGTGGTTTTCATTGAGAAGCCTTCCAACAAAAGTCACCATGCATTTCTCAGACAAATGTGCTAAAAAAGAGTCAGAGAAATAATGCCATGAATATTGATAAACTAGAAAACAAACAAAAAAAAGGCACAGGAAATATTTGTTATCCTTATTTATTTAATAAAGAAACATAATAAACTTGAATTTTTCCAGGTACAAACAGCGTAATATGTCCTATGATATTGGCTGATATTTTCCTTGCTCTTTTTGTAGCTTGAGTGATTCATGTGGTTGCCTTTATTGAACAAATCAACAGAAAAAATGGTAGCGCTCACCATGCTTATAGACAGTGTGGGCCAACTATCGAGTTAGTGTCTTTAACTAAATCACTGCACTGAGAGGTTGTATCATTGCTAGATTCGGATCGGCATCTCCATTAATAAAGATCTACAAGTGAAGTGATTTGAAGTTTTTCAGGGGAGTTCTGCATACCATACAAAGATACCATTTCCTCTTCAGCTCTAAAGAAATGTGCCACAAAACAATAGAAAACCCAATAGAAAACCAACCTTCCAGTTACAAAGGTTTTGAAAGTAATTTACAATTCAGTTTTAGAAAGTTGCACTGTAAACATCTGTAGTTAAGACCCTCTCTCAGATTTTTTTGCATTGTGATTTTTTTTTTGTTGTTGTTGTTTTACAGGTTTTGGGTAGAAGACAGACCCATTTGTAATTGCATCAGTACTATAGGGTCTCCCAGCAATGACAATAAAATGTTCAACACGAGGGTGAAATGACCAAAGGAAGAGTTCTTCTCTCATATAATCAGTGACCAGCTAATTGTTCCATTACATCCTGTTCATTATTGGGCCTGACTCTTAATAAGAATATCAGTTGAATATTTTCTAATGTAAGTTGCACATAATTAAACTATTTTTAAAATGGCATGACCAACACCACACTGCTGAGTGCAGGTTGTCTTTTTCCTCAGGTTTTGAACAGTTTACACTGTATGTGAAAAAAATCATGTAAGAAATGCTCCTTTTTCTTGTTTTTTTTTTTTTTTCCCTCTTTTTTTTTTTAAAGCTTTTAAAGGAATCAGGTTTTGAACAGTTTACACTGTATGTGAAAAAAATCACGTAAGAAATGCTCCTTTTTCTTGGTTTTTTTTTTTCCTCTTTTTTATTATAAAGCTTTGAAAGGAAAAATAATTTTACTAGTTGTCAGCCAACAAATGCTCATTCAGTGTGTAAAGAATGTATGATTTTCTAATTAAACTGTTTCATTATAGGCAGCAGCTTGTTGCTTATGATCAATAAATCCCATTGAGAAGAAAACATTTTAATCAGTAAGTCATGTCCTCTGAGTGTCAGCCACTCTATAAACTCACAAGATACATGTATATGTATAGGTATATGTATGTGTGTATATATATAGATGCATATAAATATAAAAATCGCATACTCTTTCTGGGTGATATGTACAGTCAGAATAACATTACAGCATAAATACCCAGGGAATCTGTATAAAGTTTTAATAATTTGAGAAGCCTTGAGCAATTTTGTTTGGGAGGGGGGTCAGAGGGGAGGAGGGAGGAAAGAATAAAGAGCGTTTTCACTTTAAGGAACAAAGAGTAGTTCTCTTAAGTTAGAATCTAATTACATACAAGATTTAAAGGCAACAAAATCCCCAGAGGAACAGCCCTGTGTTGTACACCATAGACATGGGGTTAAAAGGGCAAGAGAGCATGATTATAATAATACTTATATAGTACATTTCATTCCCTTATAGCACTTTGCAACCAGAAAGTCTTATAACACCCCTGTGAGGTAGGTAAGTATTATTATTCCCATTTTACAGATGGGTAAACTGAGGCACAGATAGGTTAAATTATTTGCCTAAAAAATCATGTAGTAAGAATCAGGAATAGACCCCAGGAGTCCTGATGGCAAATACTGTGAATTAACTGATAGACCACTCTCAAATGAATGCCTGAGACACCTCTCAATGAATGGAGAGAATATATTAGCCCATATTTACAGAGATACATCATCATCCTTTTGACATGTTGCCTTTACATATTCTGACTTGTTTAGAGGACAAATAACAATGGCCATAGATAAACTTCACTGTAACATGTTGCTTTAATTCTTGTTGCCAAGCCCATGTGGATTTTGACTCCTTTGCAACCTGGGATGTAACTAAAAGTCAATGACAATACACCTTAAATACATTCTTGATATCTTTGCTTCTCCAAGGTGAAAAGCACAAATACTCTTCCTTAAAGTGCAATGGCTCATTACAGAAATCTCAGGATTTTCCATGAAGTCCAACCAAACCCAAGTACAATCAGTCTGAAGGTGAAAAAGAAAACATGTCTGTAATGACAGTCTTGTTGTTATATTCCATAAATACTTTCTCACATTCTATTGAGGCGGAAAGTTTAATAATAAATAATAATCTGTGTTAGCACATAAAACCTCTAATACTTTCTACAGCCACACATCCACCTTTCGCCCTGTTGTCATTTCTTTGGCCTGAAGCTGATGGATACATCAGCTCTAAATATTCCTTTGCCTACAGGAATGAGGATATTTCTATTTTCTAGTATGTTCTTTTTATTGGTTCCTGTACTTCTTGTCCTTCCCGGTAATCTAACTGTACCGTCTGAGAAAATGAAAGAATGAAAGATGGACACTAAATAGAAAGTATTCAAAACCTCAAAATTTGCATAAGGATCCAGAGGCAATTCCCTTCCCACCTTCTCAATCACACAGTTGCAGCCCTTCTGGACAGTCCAATTGGCATTGTTTTTATTATTATTCTTGTTATCAGTAGTAGTATTTTTGGAGTAAGATTGATGCACAGAGATTCCAATAAGGCTGCTTAGCTCCGTGTTCCTGGGGAAAACGTAACCTATCCCACTACCTTAACAGAAACTTTGCCAGCATAGGTGGTGCTTTGGAGCACTACACACAAACGTGATGCACTACTTCTATGGTGAGTTTGTTTGCGGTATTCAAAGCAGATTCTTGAAACATACTAAAAAATTAGTGCTTTTATTAACAGTTTTACAAACAGAATCCATTACTGTCTAGTTTCCTGAAGGATAGAACAAGCGATTTCTCTCATTATTTTGACAGAATTTCCTTCTCTGTTTTTTTTTTTTTTTTATTTCTGCTGATGACCAGTTGCAAGTCCCAAGAGAGAGGGCTTAGTGTAATAAACAGTTAAAATGTTGCTAATTTAATAGTTTACTTTTCAACGACTTTCCTCTTCAAACGCCGGGGATCCCGCAAGTTCCTATCACCTTGACTCAGAGTTCATCATGAAGAGTGTAAGGATCATTAATCTCCATGGAAAAAGAGACTTTTTTTTTAAGTAAAAAAATATCAAATATAATAAATTTATGAAAGACCATTCACAACATATACAGTAAGTGTTACATTTTGCTACAGCAGCTGTGATATTTTTTTTTTTCCTTTTTAGAATGCAAGGTCATACATTGCCATAAGTAAACACACTAATATGAGTAAGACCTTAAATGAATGTATACAGCCAGGCTTTATCTGTGGATAGATATACAGTGTTTACTGTTTTACAGTCTAGCATATTCTTATTCACACCATTGATATAACGGCTATGACCCTGCAAAGATTCTTCCTGTGCATATATAAATATAAATATTAAGCCAAGTCAAAAAGAGCAGGGTCAAAGGTTATATGACTTATCAGACTCCTGTAGTTAAGGGTAAAAACTCCATTGTTTCTTTTGCAACTAATGTTTAATAAGAAGGCTGCTTCAATCGTTGTGTAGTTACAGCATTACATTCTGTAAACAATATTTTAAAGCATTCTAAACAAACATTTAAACAATTGATTCCTTATCCCTGTCTGGTGAGAGCAAACAATCTATAGCTTCATCACTTTTGCTCGAGTCCGTCATCTTCAGCTGGAGATTATCGCTCGTACCTCTGGTGACGCTGTCGTAGGATGGAGGGAAAGACGTGGAGGACAGAGTTTCTGATTTGTCTATTGGCCTGCCATAGTTTTCGTTCATCATGAACGCGATAAGACCCTCCTTCTCGGGTGCATCGTCCTCGAGGATGCTGCCATCAAAAGTTCTGTGTCGGTACAAGTAAGATGCTTGCTTCAGGGAGCGCCGAAACAAATGTCTCCTGTAGGCCCGCTGGATGACAATGGCGGAGACCTCTTCTTGTTTCCGTCTGAGAGTTGTTGTAATTGGTTCGTAAGAGATCTTAGACGGATTTGCCGCCATGAACTTTTCTTCCATCTGTATTTTAAGAGCATCCATCTCTCCAGATTCTCCTAGCACCCTTTTTGTAAAAGCAAACAAAATATCCAGGCAATGGATCCTATCTCCACTGACCATGGGCAGGTCCATCGCTATGAGTTTGATTTTGTTTGGTTTCGCTATGCGCAAAGGTTCTGACAGTGCATCTGCAAAGTCTGAAAGTGCAGAATACTCAATGAACTGAGTGGCTTCGGGGTCAAACTTCTCCCAGATTTCATAGAACATATCAAAATCATCCTCGCTTAGAGGCTCTGTACTTTCCTCAGTGGCTACACTGAAGTTCTCTAAAATAATGGCTATGTACATGTTTACAACGATGAGAAATGATATAATGATATAAGTAACAAAGAATAAAATCCCTACGGCAGGGCTTCCACAGTCTCCCTTCGAACCATTTGCGTTTGGAAGGTTTGGGTCACAATACGGTGGTCCAGTGTTTAAAATAGGGTTGAGAAGACCATCCCAGCCAGCTGACGTGGTGATTTGAAAGAGACAGAGCATGCTGTTAGCAAAAGTTTGAAAGTTGAACATGTCATCAATCCCATGTTCCTTCTTAACATAGGCAAAGTTAGCCATGCCAAAAATGGCATAAATGAACATGACCAGAAAAAGCAAGAGGCCAATGTTGAACAGAGCAGGTAGGGACATCATTAAGGCAAAAAGGAGAGTTCGAATTCCTTTGGCTCCCCGGATGAGTCTTAGGATCCGGCCAATCCGAGCCAAGCGAATGACTCTGAAGAGTGTGGGAGAGAAGAAATATTTCTGGATGATGTCAGAAAGTACGGTGCCTTGAAAACAAAAGAGACAAACAGCAAGTTAGTACATGGGAAATAGTCCCAGGCTTCCCTTTAAAGCAATCAGTCTAGGATTACGGATGAAATCAATGAAAAGTTCCGCAGATTAGAAGATCCACCATACAGGGAACGGCGTTGTCATTAGAGTTCATTTAATCCATGCAAACTTTGTTGAGATTATGAGCAAAACTGTCAATGGTAGTGGCAGTTATATTAAGCGAAAACTTGTCTATTGGGAATGAGAAACCAGGATCAACTCAGACAGGACACAGATATCTGCAGCTTTTGACCATGACCCACCTGAGAAACTTATCCTGGGTGCAGCTGGTCAGAACTTTTCTGATATGACAATATTTTTGTCTCTAAAATACTAGCAAGTCAGCATGGAAATGTTTGCGTGCTGCGTCTGTTTTTCTCAGCCACCACCAGAACAGTGCAGGTTTCTACTGGAATTCTGCTTGGTTGGTTGTTTGCTTAGTAATTTTTCCAGTTTCACTGATGTGCTGGGAGGGAACTAAGGGCTAAGAGTAGCAAGGAAACGAACTTGCATCCCTGTAGCTAAACTCTTCCTGCAGAAACAGAGCAGCTTGGTCCAGATTTTCTAATGCCAACTGTCCCTGGCCGCACTGAGTGGTGCTGAGCTCATGTCTCCCAGTCCAGCCTGGGAGAGGGCTCACCAGCATGGCCCAAGTCGTCTGACACTGAAACAACCTGATTGATCACAGGGCAGCACTGTGACCAATGTGACAACTTTGGTTAACTGTCTGCTATGAGCATATCTTGAGCATCCAGCATCAAAGCTCTGATGAGAGCTGTATGGAGTGACCCAGATCTCTGAAATCCAGGTGGTCTTGGCTGATCCAAGGCCCCCAAAGCACAGGCTGCTCCCTGGGCACTAGGGATCTCCTGCATTGGGACCTTTCAGGCTCCCTGGGCCACCAGAGAGAGTTTAGTGCAACAGAAACGCCAGTCTGGCTTTGTTGGCTCTGTTTTCCTAACATGACAGTTTTTCATTCACCCATTCTCTCCTTCAAAATGGAAAAAAACATTGGAAGAGCCAAATTTCTGAGTTCCTTCAGCTCACTGGATCAGTTGATCATCTTCCAGTTGCTACTTTATTTCCAGGTTTCAGCAGATTTCAAGTTGGCAGGATTTCAGTTTCATATTGGACCTGCACTTCTGTAGCACCTAACATATGATCTATGATTGGGGCTGCAGGACAACAAAAGGCACAAATTAACAATAAAACCATGTCTCGCTGTTTGGTCTCTTGGGTAGATGAGGATCCGAGTCTCCAAAGACACCAGGGCTGAGAACAGCCAGACTCACTGCACCTGCCCAAACCTTCCCTGAAGGGTTATTTCACATTGATGTAATAACAAGTAAATAGCAAAACAGCAGCAGTCTGCATGTGGCTTTTTTACTTCTCTGTCTTTGGTGTTGCTCAGAACCAGGGGTAAGTGTACGGTGCCAGTTCTGGACCATGCTTTATCACCAGGAACCATTAAGTGTACATTGAAACCAATACTGCAGTGTGATAAACCTCATAAATTTGCTGATCATGTAAGTTATTGTTAGGCAGTATTATGTTGTATTATTTAAATATTAAAAAAAATTCTTGGGATCTAATTCTCTGAGTTGAAAATGTATTTTATTGCATGACGCCTTCAACTTTGTCAAATTAAATTTCCGTCTCTCTTTTTAACTTTGGGTGAAAATCCCGATTCACCTACCTACGATAGACAGAATCACGACGACAAAGTCAAATATGTTCCAGCCGTTGGTGAAGTAGTAGTGTCGCAGAGCCACCATTTTGATGATGCACTCTCCAGTGAAGATGGCAACAAAAAGCATGTTGATTTTATGGAGGATGTTCACTTTTTCTTGACTTTGGTCATCCGTTTCCACCATCATGGTAACCATGTTAAGGCAGATGAGAATCATGATGGAGACATCAAAGGCTTGTTTTGAGACGACATCAAAAATAAAACCTTGGTATTTGTTCTGGAGGAAAGGAGAAGATTTAGTTAGGAAATTCGGACTGTGTCAAAATGATAACATCATTATCTCCTGATTGATCAGAAAGTAAAGGAAAATAGGCAACGTACTGCTTCTGATTAGAATGTCATAAACAGAAAGATGATGATGAATGGTTGGACAACAGAGTTCTCAAACTTATTCACTCCTAATGCTTCTTGAAACTACTGAGGAAAGACCTCAGACTTGGGCCACGAATTCTTTCAATGCAGGCATGTGGTCACTGCCATGACTGCATATATAAATTGGACTTTTAGTCAATATTGCAGAAAAATGGGAATTTTGTACCACACAGGTCACTGGACTTGCAAATACTGTCCTAAATCAAAACACACAAATACGAAGTCTCTTTCATCTGGCAGCAATCACTCTTCCTACACTGGGAAGTTGAATTGCATTAATTCTATTGAATAAATATTCAGCTATTACACGTAGTTCAACTGAATTATGCCCTTCTTACCAGTGGCCTTGGGATTGGCTTTTGCGGTTTCTTAGATCCCAGCTTTTTCATGGCATTATAATACTTTTTCTGCTCTTCTGTCATAAAGATATCCTGGCCACCTAAGTATAGGGTGAGAACAAAGCTATTACTTTTGATGAAAAGAGGTCCACTGCCTCCATTCAAAGTTCAGGGCTGTGTCCTCTTATTTTTTCTTATTTCCCTTTCCATATAGCTTTTGTCAAAATATCTCAGAAGGGTTGATAAGATGCAGTGCTGGGAGTTGCTTATGGCATGAAGGCAAAGGGCAGGAGACAGAGCAGTGCAGGCAACCCAAGAGGAGCAAGACTCAGATCCTGTCTGCACTGGAGGTAGGTCCAGGGCGAGAGGGAAAAGTAGCAGAACCTCAGCCCTTTGTTTGGATCCTACAAAGCAACAAGACACACAGCTCTCAGGCCAGGCTGCTCCTCCCTGGCCCTGGCTGCACCTTGGGGCAGGGAGGGGATGGATTGAGGAGAAGAGGTTGCAGTGCTGTGAGGTGTTTGTGGTGTTTGTGCACTGGGGCCGCCAGAGCGGTCTGTGCTCCTATGGCAGAGTTTGTGCCAGAGATCCCGTCTGCATGGAGCTGCTTCACTGCTTTCTGTGGGGAATATAAACCCCCAGCCTGTATTTTCAGGACACTCATCGTATGCGGACGTGCTTTTTGTAAAAGTCCTGCCTGGTGGTTTCTGCGGCTGTTCTGTCAATGCTAATCTGGAGGCTAAAGTGGCAAAGACACTGCTTATAAATCCGTCCCTTGCCCTGGTCTCTGCAGCAATCACAAAGTAATGTGTAGCATATGCACTACTTATCTTTTTCTTTTGTTGGTTAAAATTGTCAATGATGACACCAATGAAGAGGTTCAATGTGAAGAAAGACCCGAAGATGATGAAAATCACAAAGTACAGGTACATGTATAAATTACATTCCCATTCAGGCTGCTCCTCACACTGCAAAGGGAAAAGGGAAAATGTGAAAATGACACCACCTCTGCACATACCAAAATATGAATGCAGCTAAAAGAAAACTGTCCATCAGCAATAAAGGCTATCAAACAAGAAAACCAGTGTAACTCCCACTAGCAGAGTCAGCGCTCCACGATCTCTATTTGAAGTTTACTGCTGGCATCTGCAATACCTTGGCCATTTCAGCTACATTTCACAGCACTGTCACAGCAATGACACTGCTTCATAAAGTGCAACTTCAGAATAAATCCAGAAGGGCATTCAGAACATTTTATATGTTCTCAGTCAGAACCCAAAAGGGAAAAAGAATCAATTTTCTGATTATCCCTAATCTTATATGAAGTAATGGTACCTATAAAAAGCAAAAGCATGATCACAGTGTAATTAAATGCGATGTAAAACACTGTATTGAGAGTCAGTGTGTTTAGAAGTTCACATTCCCTAAATGCCATATCTTCACGTGTCTAACGCAGGTGTTTCACTCAGCAGCAGGGAAGATACACACATGTGTACACGTAGTACAAGAATAAATCAACGTCACAGGCTATGCTATGCAAAGGTACTTCTCTGCTCCTTTTTCTTCCATTTAGGGCTCAACTCCCTGTTACTCAATTCAGCCTACCAAATTCCCAACACCAGGCAGCTGCCTCCAAAATTAACAGCAAGTGTAATCTTGTTCCTTTAAAATTATTCAAAAAGGGAAAGGAGACAACATCTCCTCCAATAAAAAAATAAACCACACATGATGCAGCAAGGGAATTTTTTTTTTTTAATTTATTTTAAGAAATCAGGAAACCTGAAAGCTGCGTGAGATGTAGGTAGGGATTGATTGCCAGCCCAGGGCAGTTACCAGCACCCAGAGCTCCAGCATGTCTTCAGACAGAGCTGGGAGCTCACACCAGCATCTTTCCCTCCCAGGAGCTGCTGGTTGAAGAGAAGCAACTTGTTCAAGGTGATGATATAGGGACGGTTGAACATGTGGGTTACAGGAGTATATAATGTAAACCCAATGCTTTTAAAGAAGTTCTGTTATCAACATTTAGATCCGTTGAAAATATGTCAGTCAATGGGTAGAGTGGAAGAAACAGAGAAGACAATTTAGGTTTTTGGTAGACTCATTCTCACCCTGGAGGTGCCTCTCTGTGCTGGCAGTTTTGCAGTACAAATAGAAAAATCAGGAGTGTGGAACTGAGGGCTACATTTGTTTTAGTCTCAAGGTCATGATGCTTCAGTATCAGCTGCAAAAAATGAAGGTCTGCAACTGTCTCAACCAGAGTAAGATAGGGACTGGCAACCTGCACGTATTTTTTTTTATCATTGTTGTTAAACACTGTGAATGCTATGAAGGTCAATGGAAAAGGAAATTATTCATTTCTTGTTGTGACCTACCTCTCGTGAATCCACTGCTGCATACATAATATCCATCCAACCTTTAAATGTGGCCTGAAAAAAACCCCACAAAACACATAACTAAGTACAGTCAATAAGCATATCTTGAAATAATATAATCTCTGTGATGAGTTTTCAATATACAATGTTGAGCATGATCTTTCATTAATTCATTAATTGCCTCTCCTTTAAAACAATATATAGCCATGAGTTTATGTTCATTTAGACATTTAAAATCATTCCAGAATGGTTTTCTCCTAGATTCTTTCACTCATCTTTTCTGTTTTTCTGCAGCTGTAGGGATAAAACAGGTTTTCAACAGAGATTTTAAAAAGGAGAAAAAACAAGGCAATTCAATCTTTGGAAGTTTTGACCTTAAGAAATGCAAGTAATGAAGAAATATGGCTTATATAGGACAACACAGAGTGCTGTCCTACACAAGTATGGTACCAGGTGAGACGGATTCCATCCATCTTGCTTGTTCAGATTGATGAGGAGTGACTACACTACAGGATCCCACTGAAGCTTGGATTCTGCCCTCTTTTAAAATGGGGTATATCAAAGCAACGTCAAAGCCCAGGGAGTCACATGAATTGCAGCTGACTTGAAAGGAGTCAACACCTGCTGTGAGCCTGGTCCTGGAAATTCAATCTCCTTCACTGTTCAGAATTTTATTTTTTTTTTTAAATCAGAGTTTTATTTTTTTTTTTAATTGTTCAAAGAAAGAGGGATTCTACAGAATTCTCTTACTGGAACCTGCAATGGAGAAAGGGCAGTGACAATACTCCTAGGAGAAACATGTAGAGTTGATTTTTACTATTCTGCAGCAAAACAATGCCACTTTGCTCTCAATATATGCCTCTCATTAGACACAGCTTGATGCCAAACATACCTGGCATTGGATCTAACTCTGGCCTATGCTGTATTGCCTTTATATTAGTCCTCTGGGGTTGTTTCTCATTTGGCTTGTGACCCATGTAGGCTTACCTTGGATGTAAAATCAGTGTGAGCAGATAAAGAGGCATTTTTGGATTTATTAATTTAATCAGATTTACACTAGCATACATGGAAGACACATGCCCAATATTTTTTTTTCATCCTACTGACACTTAGGTTGAATTTTCTCCTGATGTGTAGGCATGCAATTTCCGATAACACTAATGGGAATTTGGCCAGTGGTTCCCAAGAGAAACCCAGGCATTTGTGTTGAGCTGGGTACATCTAGCGGTTTTAGAAACGCTCCATTATACACTCTCTATTATTAAAT